ATTAAGAATGCTTAAAAAAAAAGAGAAAAAACCCAGAAGTTGTCTGAACCACCTTTGAAGGAGCAGGTTTACAGCAAACAAGCAACGCCCAATTAAAGAAAAGCCATTGTCAAAATAGTAGGAGAGGTTTGTGGCATTTCCACTCCTGTTCCCTCCCTGCCCCAGGACAGCAGTGATCTTGGTCTTGAGCAGCCAGCAGCCTGGTTCCAAGATCCGCCCCTCCTCATTAAATAAGAGAGAGCAGAGCAGACTTTATTTACCAATTATCGTGTACACCTCTTCTAACCTGTGTGGGTTACCTGAAGAGCTGACATGAGATACTCACCTCTGGACACAGGTGACAGAAGCGCTGGCACTGCTCATACAAGCTACAAGGCGACTACATGCTCATGGACTCTGGGGCAAGGGATTGAAGCAGAGGGGTACAAAGGCCGTCAAAGACCCAGAAAGAAGCTTAGGTGAGATGCTTTGGGTGAATTAGAACACCCAAAGCAGCCACGTATGTGGGCAAATTAGAAAGCCAGGTGTATGCCCAAGAAAGAGGCCCAAGAAGACCTGAAGCTTTCACTTCCTGCAGACCCTCAGCTCAGCACAAGCCTAGCTAAGCGATGACAGAGTCCCCAGCACAGAGCCAAGGCCGAAAGACTGAAAGGTGGCTCTTCTCTTTTGCGTTTTGTTTTGATGAGGTTTTTGGTTGGCTTTTGTTGGTTTGTTTGTTTCAGCTCCTGGCATTTAAGAAAATCTCTGTCAAAACATTGGCTGAACATGAGTTAAAGGAATAGAAACTTCAATGACCACACATGACAAGAAACAATCTTTACAAAAATGGTTTGGAAAAGTCTCACATGGACTGCTACAACCTTCAAAAATTAAAAAGAAAGGAAACCTGGGAAAGGGGAGAATCTGATTTCCAGAGTTATCACATTATAATAGTCAAATTCCCAATTTCCAGTAAAAACCACAAAAATCACAAGACATACTAGAAAACAGGATAAGATGACTCATTCAAAGTTTCAAAATAAATTCAAAATTAATTGAAATAAACTAAAGAGGAGAAAAACAGAAGACTCAAATTACTAAGTTCAGAAATGAAAAATGGAGACACTACTATCAATTTTGCAGAACTAAAAAGATTATAACAGTACTGTGAACAACTGTACAACAAATTGGATAACCTAGATGAAACAGACACATGATCTACCAAACCTGAATCATAAAGAAATAGAAAATCTGAATAAACCTATACCTGGTAAAGAGATTGCATCAAAATAAAAAAAACCTTCCTACAAAAAAAAAGTCTTGGACCAGACAGCTTCAATGGTGAATTCTACCAAACTTTAATAAAGAAACACCACCAATCCTTTTCAAACTTTTTCAAAAAAGTTGAAAAGGAGGGAACACTTCCAAACTCATTCTTTGAGGCCAGCATTACCCTAATACCAAAGCCAAAGATACTACAGGAAAAGAAAGTCACACATCAATATTTCTTATGACTATTATGCAGAAATCTTCAACAAGATACTAGCAAACCAAATTTTAAAACATATTAAAAGAATTATATACTATGACCAGGGGGATTTATTTCTGGAATGCAAGAATAGTTCAACATGTGAAAATTAATCAATATAACATACTAAATTAATAGAATAGAGGAGAAAAAAATCACACAATCATCTCAATGGGTGCATAAAAAAGCACTGGACAAAATTCGAGAGCTTTTCATTGTGAAAATGCTCAATAATCTAGGAATGAAAGGGAATTTCTTCAAAATGATAAAGGCCATATATAACCGACCCACAGCTAACATCATACTCAATGGCAGATGAGTGAAGGTTTTTCCCTGAGTCTCAGGAACAAGACAGGATGCCTGCATTCACCACTGCTGCTCAAGATAGTTTTGGAAGTTTTAACAAGAATGATTAGATAAGAAAAGTTATTCAATTTGGAAAGGAAGAAGTAAAATTATATATGACATAATGTTGTATGTAAAAAAACCCCTAAACATTGTACACACACACACACACACACAAAACTGTTATAGTAGGTAAATGCACTCAGCAAAGTTGCAAGACACAAAATTAACACACAAAAATCAGTTATATTTCTATACACTAACAATGAAAGGTACAAAAAGGAAATTTAAAAAACATTTTCAGTAATAATAGCACAAAAAGAAAAAATATTAAGGAAGAAATTTAACCAAGGAGGTGAAAGATTTGTACACTGAAAGCTACAAAATATTGCTGAAAGAAATTAAAGAAGACATAAACAAATGAAAAGAATCATGTTCATGGATTGAGACTTAATATTGTTAAGATGATAATGCTACTCAAGCAATCTACAGATTCAATGCAATATCTATCAAAATCCCAACAGTATTTTTTTGCAGAAATAAAAGAATTCATCCTACCAATAAAATCTATATGGATAGTCACATGTTCCCAAATAGCTAAAACGATCTTGAAACAGAAAACAAAATTGGAGATTTCACATTTCCCGATTTCAAAACATACTACAGTAATCAAAACAATATGGTACTGGCATAAGAACAGTCATGTAGCCCAGTGGCATAGAAGAGATAGTCCAGAAACAAACCCTCACATTGATTTTCAACCAGAATGCCAATACCATTCAATTGTCTTTTCAACCAATGGCATTGGTTAAACTGAATTTCCACTTGTAAAAGAATGAAGTTGGACCCTTATCTTACATGACATACAATAGTTAACTCAACATAGATCAGAGATCTAAACATAAGAGCTTTGCAAACCATGTATCTGGTAAGAGATTGATATCCAGAATTTACAAAGAATTTTTACAACTCAACAAACAAAAAACAAATAACCCAATTGAAAAATATGCAAAAGACTTGAATAGGTATTTCTCCAAAGAAGATATGAAAATGGCCGATAAGCATATAAATTTTTTCCCTTGTGACTTACTGGAAGGAATGCAAAATTGTGTAGCCGCTGTGGTAGTTTGGCGGTTCCTAAAATTTAAACATAGAAATAAAATATAATTTCACTGCTAGGTGTATACTTAAAAGAATTAAAAGCAGAAACTCAAACAGACATTTGTATACTAATGGTCACAGCAGCATTATCAACAATAGTCAAAAGAGGAAAACAACCCAAATGTCCATCAACAGATGAAGGAATAAACAAAATGTGGTGTGTACATTCAGTGGCATGTTATTCAGGCTTTAAGGAATGAAACTGTGATACATGCCTGACGCAATAGGACAAAGATATCGAGAATAGGCAAATTCGTAGACACAGAAAACAGAATGGAGGTTACCAGGGGCCGGGGATAGGAAAGAAAAAGGAGTCATTTTTTAATGGGAGAGAGTTTCTGTTTGGGATGACAAAGAAGTTCAAGAAATAGTATAGTGTTTGCACAACACCACGAATGTATTTAATGCCATTTAATGCATGCCTATAAATAGGTAAAATGGTAAATTTTATGTAATGCATTTTTACCACAATAAAAAAGGAATAACAATTTTTAGCAAAGCCCCATCATGATTTAGTTCATCTTGTCCAAATTAATTGCAATAATCCTTTGCCATCCATTATTCTTACATTGATCACTTAATTTTAAACTCTTTGACCCCTTATTCTAATCAGACATTGTGGAACCAGTGCTACAGTCTTTAATTATTTGACAGGTTTTTTTTCTCATGGAGATATTATTCTTCCACATGATTTTAATGATATATTATCATCATTATTATTCAGTTGTACAGATACAATATAATGTATCTAGTTTTCTCAATGTAGGTTATTTAGGATATTTTTAATTTCGATATTATACATAATGTTGCAGTGAATATCTTTAGCCCAGGATTTTTTCAGCATATCTCTTTGCTTAGTATAATTTAGATTATCTCTCTACCTACCTATCTGTCTATCACGAGAGAGGAGAGATAAGGAGCGGCAGGGGGCGGGGGAGTGCCTGGAGGGGGAGAGAGAGACCCAGATATCCAGGAAGAAAGGCTTGATTTGCATGCCTCACTTCT